CTATCATTTCCTGAGTGTAGCTGTCATCTCATCCATTTAGGGACCCTCAACACGCAGCTCAGGGATGCGTCATGGGCTCTCTGTTAAAGTTGATGAGGGGGTGGGAAGGACTCGAGAACTGAGGGGTGGAAAGAGTTAGAAAGTGTGGAGGAAAGGTGGGAGTCCTAGGGCCCTGGAGCCTGAGGGTTAGCAAAAGTTTACAGGGCATGTGTGGCCCCATCTCAGTTAAAGGCCAAACGGAGGGGATGACATAAGGAAGAAGTGTGTCACACCCCAGAATGTGGTCTTGAGGGAAGCTGCAGAATGTTCTTTCCTGAGTCCTTGGGTGGCCTGGGGAGGGGACCTGGTAATAGACTGACTCCCTGGCTTCTCACACTCTTCTCCAGCCCATGAGCCAAGAAGCCTAGGAAGTCTTTGAAGTTTCTAGTTGTGAAAGTTGGTTGCCTTCCTTGTTGTCCTTTTAAAAGCACAGAGATGTAAAAGACATGGAGAGTTACTTGCGTATTTCTAAGTGAAAGAAGCCAGTCTGCTGAGGCTACATAGTGTAGGATTCCAACTCTGCGACATTTTGGAAAAGGCAAAACTATGTAGACCGGTGGGTGCCAGGGGCGCAAGCGGAGGCAGGATGAAGAGGTGGAGCACGGGGTATGCTCAGGGCAGTGAAGCTACTGTATATGATCCTGTCAGGGCGGACACATGACATTGTACATTTGTCCAAATCCAGAGAAGGGACGACACCAAGAGTGAACCCTGATGTAAACCATAGAGTTTAGTTCATATTAACGTTATCAATATTGGCTCATCAACTGTAGCAGGTGGGGACTTCCCTGGCAGTCCAGTGGTTAAGACTCTGCGCTTCCATGGCAGGAGGCACGGGTTCGATCCCTGGTCGGGGAACTAAGATCCTGCACGCCTCGTGGCACGGCCAAAAAAAAAAAAAAAAAATCCAGGAAAGAGCATCGCACCCTGTCAGAGCTGGAAGAGCTCCGAGACCATCTGTTCTACCCTCTCACTGTACCGCTGAGGAACCGGGGGCCTGGAGGGTCCCCCATCCCCCAAGACCCGGTGGCACCCTCAGCTGGGTTCAGATGTCCGGGACTCCTCGGCATGCCTCACAAAATGGAGCAGGCCTGCAGCACACTCTCAGACCTGCTCATCTACCCCCATCTCACCCCAGCACTTCCCTGCTTCACACCTTCTCTGACTTCCTGTTCCCCGAAGGGAACCACCCGCCTCCTTAACATGGCACCAGGCTTCCAGGGTCTGGTCCTGAGTTACGACTCCAGTCCCTCCTCACACCCCCGCTCCAGGCCCCGAAGCACAGAACTACTCTCCCATTTCCCACCCCCCAGCCCTCCTCTACCTCCCCGCAGGCCTGTGCTCCTCTCCCCTCCCTTCCCCGAGCACCCCATTCAGCCTGCTCCCAGCTGGGCTGCTGTGCCCGCGGGCAGCCCCCGAGAGCCCAGGTCTGGGTCCAGCGTCCTTAGCTTCGGAGCTCTGGGTTTGTATCTGCCGGTTTCCCAGTCCTTATTTCCACTGGACTGGAGAGCGCAGACCCGGCCTAGCCCATAGCAGGTGGTTAATAAATATTTATTGACTGAACAGGGTCTATAAATATTCTTATGGGCTCCAAGAAGACAGTATCAATCTCCTTCCCCCAGGCTCCATCCCATCCCCCTTGCCCCAAGCTCTTAAAGCATCTGCTCGTGTTCGGGTTTCTTTATCCCAGCCTCTCGGAGGACCGGGGACCAGAGCTCCCGCAGGCTCTGAACACGTGGATGAGGCACTAAACAGGGCAGGTTGGGCTCCTATGCAGGTAGCTGGGCCCTTCTCTGGCCACTTAACACCGTGCACTGCAGGTACCCAGGGACTGATTTTCCAGCCCAGTGTGGAGACGGTACACTGCCTGCCACAGCAGTTCAACGTGGCCCCAGGGACGCTGCACGCTCTGTGTTAAGCTTTACGGTTTCAGTGCGATCGTGCTCAGCACCCGCTCTCCCTGACAGGTAACCGCTGCTCCCCGGAGCCCTGTTCTGTCTGCTAGAGCAGGCATCTTTCCCTTGGACTTCTCTCTTTATCACCTTGGAAATGCATGGACATTAACTTTTATGCTTTAAATTCAAAATGGACAATAAAATTAGGGGAGCGGGTTAGTGTTAATCTACAAGGCTGCCTGTGGAGGTGATCTGAGCCCTTCAGAGTCCTTGGAGGAATTTCTGAGGTTGTCCTGCCCTCCCTGAGCAGAACTTTCTTCAGCACTCAAGAGAGGGCTATGCTGGGAGGGAAGGCAAATGCCCAAAGGACTGACAACTTCCCTCTGCAATGGAAAGCTTGGCTTGTAGAAGCTAGGGAGGTGCTCCTGGCGACAGGGTCTGGGGGAATAGGATGGAGCATCTCAGCCCGCCTGCTTGGGGCAGTCCAACCAAGCTTTGTCTACAAGCACTTTGGAGGGTGGTGGGGACCAAGGCACGTCAACGGCGCCTAGAGCTGCACTGAATAAATCACCCATGTGACACCCCCTTTCACAGTGGGGAACAAGTGGAGAGCAGCGGCCATTTGTCAGACGCTTACTGTGCACTGTGACTTACGTTAGCTGTCATCCTCACTACAGCCCAGCGCGGGAGGCAGAGGTAAACCATCTCTAGTGTCTGCATGAAGAAATTGAGGTCTGGGGCGGGGGGCAAGAACTCGTCCAAGTGCACAGCCCGTTAGTGGCACAGGCAGATTTTGAAGCAGGTGATGGCCCGTTCCAAAGCCAGGGCTCTCCCGGGATGCCGCACCACTCTGCAGGGGTTGCCTTGGGACCCAGACGTCCTGGGAGGAGGGCTGCCTAGCATAGCCAGGTGTGGAGGGAGGGAGCAAAGGAGCAGGCGAGGCCTCCAGGCCCCGCAGGCTGTGGCCTGTGAGCCTCTGCATGTCACTCCCAACCGTCCAGGTCTGCTGTGTGCCCGGGGGCAAAACACTTCTGCAGGAATGCAGGAGGCAGTCCTGTCCATGTGCCAGCTGCTGGGATGGCTGTAATTAAGTGCAAAAGGCTCTAAAGAGCCCACACCAGCCAATCACAACCTTGCAATTAAAACAAGCTCCATGAAGTGAAGTGTGAAGACATCCTGTGACTTCTGCCTGGCGTGCGCATGACGGGGAGCCGGTCAGCCGGAAAACTGCTGCCCTGCAGTTCTTGCTAACAGGCACTTGTGTAAACACCTCAGGCCGATGCCTTGGAACACCCCGGTTCTCAGCACGCTCCTGACCGTTGCCCTGGAGATGCCTCCCTCTCCCAAAGCAGAAAGCACTTTAGGCGGGGAAGGCTCTCTCCATCCAATTCACAATACAGCCCGGTGTGTTCTCATCCCTACTAATTCCTGGGGCAGGGTGAGAATGATTCTGTTTATACCCAGAGGGCCCCCAGGACTGTTACACGAAAAGAGCCAGAAGCATGACATGCTTGGGATAGCATGAGGAGGTTTTCCTGCCACAGAAGCTCACTATAATGAAAAAAAAAATCATGGCAAACAGTATTTGTGACTGAGACTCTGACGTGGCCAGACACTAAAGGGACGGAGGGGAGGATCCAGGTAAGTCGGTTGGACCTCGTCTGACTCTGTCACTGAGCAGGCATTTCCTTCCTACCAGCCTCTGTGCTTAGAACATCGTTGACACTAACACCTGGATGTATGCTGCACCTGTGCTACCTGTCTCCCAGGTGTGGGGGGCTGAAGAGGCATCCCTGTGCTCGGCTCACATGCTGCTGCTCTCTGCTTTGGGAGAGCATTTTCTGGAAGGAGGCGAGGCCAGCCCCCAGAGACAGCCTTGCAGGCTTCTTTGGTGGGAAATGAGGCACTTACCTGGTGGTCTCTGAGACACACTGTCCATTTAGAGGGAAGGAGGGGAGGACAGGTGTGGCGTGGAGAAGAGCTGAGACCTGCCCGACAGGCACCCCGGGAAGGCTGCTGGCGGCAGGGGGCAGGAGGCAGGAGGGTGTGGGCTGCCCACAGTGAACTGTGGACCCCGGTCCCACCCAGCCACCTATGCCGTCTGTCTTTCAGCTGGCGAGATGGAGTTTAAGCATCCATGAAAACCAGCTTCCGGCACTAAACAATGTTACAATTACCAAACACCTTTACCCACTCGCTCAGCTGTTGCTGCTGGTGGCCCCGCTGCCCAGGGCATCGGGCCGGGCATGCCCTTTCCTGTTCCCTCCCTCCTTCAGCCTCTGGTTCTGGTCCTCCGCTGTCTCCATCCCCTGGGATCACTGCCACTGCCCCTCCCTGCCCACCCAAACCCATTCCACTATTGAAGCCACGCTTCAAACTGTCATTTTCTTTTTAATTTTTAATCAGTCTGTGTCGAGAAAAAACAGGATTTGATCAAGCTTCCAGCCCTCACCGCTCTATCAGCATAGCAATTTTGTGGATCAGAGTTTTGATTGTATTTGTCCAAAACCCAGAGGAGAGATGGAATCAGCTCCACAGATCAACATGTATTCGAAGAGACACTTCAAGACTTGGGAAATGTTTTTATCCATCATTTTCTTAGGAACGACACCCAGTGGGCCCCGGGAGGGTGCGGTGCGAATGATGGATGGACAGGTGGGTGAGACAGCCCGAGGCCTGGGAAGCAGGAGCGAAGGGTTGTCTGTCTTCGGAGGCTGTGGACTTCGCAGGACAAAATAAAAGGGGGGAAAAAAATCCAACCTCACATTTTATTTGGAGGGGGAGGAATATGTTTTCAGATACAATTTCTGTTTTGGAAAATTAAATCTGTCTGAGTTTGGCTGCGGGGGCAACAACCCTAATAGTTAACTGGAGATGGGCTCACGACTCAGATAAATTGTCAAGTGGGATCTTTTAAAAATGCCGAAACAGGGCTTCCCTGGTGGCGCAGTGGTTGAGAGTCCGCCTGCCGATGCAGGGGACGCGGGTTCGTGCCCCGGTCCGGGAAGATCCCACATGCCGCGGAGCGGCTGGGCCCGTGAGCCATGGCCGCTGAGCCTGCGCGTCCAGAGCCTGTGCTCCGCAACGGGAGAGGCCACAACAGTGAGAGGCCCGCGTATGCAAAAAACAAAACAAAACAAACAAAAAAAACCGCCGAAACAAAACATTACCTTGGTTACTTCTCCACCATGAGATGCTATTTGAACACACTCTGACCATGTGTAAAGTCACAAGATTTAGCCAATGCCATGGATCCGTGTGCTAGACCATGAATACAAATACTGATGATATTTCACCAAAGGACAGCACGGAGGACAGGAGCTCTACTTTCTGAAGAAATTTCCAGAAAGCCGAGTCTGTCTGAGTCTTTCTTTTCCTTTCTCAGTGGAACCGCCACATCCCGCTTTAGTCTTGCCTTGAGCAGAGTTGTCCAGCCCAAGGAAGACTGTCCAAAGGACACCCCAGAATCTTCCTTGGGGAGCCTGCAGGGGGCGCTCTGCTACTCTTCCAGCAGCTCAACACAGACTTCCTGCAGAGGCTGATCCATCCTCATTTGGCGTCCAGAGACAGTTGGAAGCAGATTTTAGAAGCGATTTACATAATGTGGCATGCTTTCAGCGGAGGCGGGTAGTACTCGTAAGTCAGCGGGATGTGGGATTTGGTGGGATACGCTTGGAACCGTCTGTCCCATGTTCCGCAGCACAAGATGCACTTAACACCTTCATCCAGGACCACACAGGGTCTCCCCCCATCCTTTTTGTTCCTCACCGGTCTTGGCAAATCCTCAAGTTTCATTTAAAAGCACTGCCACTGCCACTGTTGAGTCCGAGATGTACGATGTGTCACTGTCCCCATGTTGATAAATTAGAAAACTTCCTCCATCCCCCCCAAGCTCTGTCCTCCAGAGGCCTCACTCCAAAGTACAAGGTGCCCATCCCCAAAGGGGCAGCAGAATCATCGGGACTTTTTCCAGTTATGGATCTTCTTCCATTAGAGGGATCTCTGTAAAAGAAGAGATGGTTATTATACTAATACACCGGAAAACACCGCAAAGATCTGGAATCGTGAGCTTTAGCAAAATGTCTACAGTTCCTACACATCAGCGAGAAGAAGAAAATGCTAAGTTCCACGTATCAGTTAACAAGCAAATAAACCAACTCCTCTGTACAACATGATTTGCTGGAAAATCTCATACTCAGCTCATAAAAAATAAACGGTTAGGCTTCAACCATGCACCCTAATGGTCATACCAACCGAAAGGTTACAAGTTCAAGTACAGAGAGGCAGGGTGGTACTGGAGAAAAGGAACTCTATGAGGAACCAGGAGACCCCCGTTTCCATGTGCTTACTGCTACTTACTGTCAATATAAGCTGGAATGAGTGCTCTCATTGGTAAAGTGGTGCTGGTGTCCCCTTGCCCCGGGAAACACAGCCCTAATTAGTCTGATGCAGTTTTACTATCTTGCCATGAGCTGCAACCTGCCTTTCCTTGCAGTAGGCACATACACACCTTTTACGTCACCCCTGATACACATAACCTGTATGTACCCAGAGCTTCTCCAGGGCTGGGCCCTCGTGCCCGCATCTGGGTCTTCCCTTTTAGCACGTGTGTGTTACCTGGATCCCAAGCACCACTTTCAGAAGTCCTGCCTAATTAAGGGAGAAAGAAGAAAACATCCTGGATCGTACGGATGCTGTGAAAACCAAGTTCCGCCCACTGTGGCCTTTCTACTTTGGATGGCTTGGTGCTCTTTTATGCCTCCAGAAATTTCAGTTAATGGGCTCATCACTTGTGAGATGATGATCATTTCTTCCCATAACCGGCCTTGCCCACGGCCTCTACATGCAGAGAGATCAAGATGCAATTTAAGCCGAGTGAGACGGTAGCACTGATTTGGCCCTGAGCTGGGAGCAGGGTGGGGCTGTGCAAGGGTGGCCCGGGCCTCGGGGCAAATGCTTACCATCTGCAATGTCAATGCCTGGGCTGGTGGATGCCACCTCCCCCGCCGTGCTGGGAGCTGTGTCAGGGTTGTCGGAAGCGGGGCGGGTGCCCCCTTGGCACGTGGGAGGTGAATACAAACTCTGGAGCAGCTCCGAAGAGCCTGAGACGCTGTCACGGGTTCCTGACTCCCCCGGGCCCGTGTCCGTGTCCCCTGAGCCGGGGTATGCTGGGGGGCTCTGGTCGTCCACGGGTAAGGGGCAGCCCTGGCCCACGGAGGACAGGTACCCTGGGGCTAAGGCACTCAAGCCGCCACTCACAGCCTCGTCATAGGACGGGAGCATGACGGGCACGCCGTCTACCACCACGAAGTCGGGGTCGCTGCTGGAACTCCTGGGAGGCCCCCTGTGGAGAGGAAAGTGGTGCTAATCTGTCAGGTGACAGGTCACCCCGGGAACGAGGCCACAGTGCCCCCCACTGCAGCTGGGGTCCTGGGGGCTGCGGAGCCCTGGGAGGAGGTGGTGCAGGAGACCCAGCCTCCCTGCCCGGTCCCCTCCGGCAGACGCTGCGTCCACCAGGGCCACACTCTGGACAGGAGAGGTTTTCTCCTCCTGCTTCCCTCCTGGCCTCTTGCCGCCTCTGGGCTCCAGTATCTCCTCATCCTTCCTTCTTCCCCCCATTGGACCTCTGGCCTTGGCCTCATAAACCTGAGAACAGGGGACTCTGTGGCCCATTCCAACCGAGCACCCCAATGTGCCCCTGCAGTGTCCCTGAGGAAGCCTGTTGGAAACGGAACAGTACCGTTAAAAGCTTGGGACACCGTGGACCCTAATGCCCCTTTCATTTACCCCTGTGCTTCGTGTTTGTTTTCTGCTACGGTATAAAAATCACTCACTTTTAGTCAAGACAGAAAAACAACAACAGAAAAAAAAGGAACTCTGAACACCATCTCACTACCTGTTCCGGGGCTGTGGGCTCACAGCCGCCCCCCGACCCAGCAGCCACCTGAACCTAAGCTCCGCCTGTGCTGCCCAGGGCGGGGGTTCCCTTACGCTGACACACACGCGGCTTGCAGGATCTTAGTTCCCCAACCAGGGATCGAACCTGGCAGGGGGAGCTCCAGGTCCTAACCGCTGGACCGCCAGGGAATTCCCTAGGGACCATTTTAAAAACATCTTAATATTTAGTCTCTATCCTGGAAACTTTGTTCCCAAGCCTATGTAGAAAAATAGCTCCACAGGCCACGTTCAAGTGCTCCAGTGTACTATAAATCACAATATGTAGTTCAGCTTTCTCCTTATAACCCTTAGGTCTTCTTTCGATAGTCTAATTGCTCAATGATAGGACATGGTCCCTTGACCCATAAACAATAACGGGGAAGACAGAGAGAGCGGATGGCAGGTTGGAGAGGAAAGAAGATTCTGTCACCTCAGCTGGAGCTTGGCTGTGGCCCCAGGATGGTGTCCGCACACTCTGGGCCTGGCGTGGATGCAGGCACACACCCACCCCCGACCCAGCACACTTTCCCGGCTGGGAGAGTGGGGTGCTTGCAGGTTGGGGGGCTCCTGCCGCCAGGTGGGGGCATTGCTACGTGGGATGAGGCTGTCCTGGGGGCGGGAGGTTGAGGGGAAAAGGTGCGTGGTGCTTTCTTCAGCAGCCCCGCCTGCTTCCCAGCCCCGCGCCTGGCTGGGAGTGTGAGAGGCACGAGTGAGTTTCCTGGAGGGCGGAGTGGGAAGCGGTGAGTCCCCGGCAGACGCCTCCTCCACTAAGCAACACGCTCTTTGCCAGAGGCGTGGTACACACGACCCCGGGGGCCAGTTTGTCCCTGTGTCAGAAACAAATGCTCTTTTCTGAAGCATGAGGTCCCCAAATGAGAAGACTCTGACATGGGCACAGGAATCCAAGGACGTACTTGATTCCCTTGGGAGCCCTGGCTGCTAGCATCCTATGATGTTCGGTGCCCTGACTTCCTTTTCACGTTCACAAACTTATCCCTGTGCTTTCTTTCTTTTTTTTAAAATAAATTTATTTATTTATTTATTTTTGGCTGCGTCGGGTCTCCGCTGCTGCGTGCGGGCTTTCTCTAGTTGCGGCGAGCCGGGGCTACTCTCTGCTGTGGCGCGCCGGCTCTTCATTGCGGTGGCCCCTCCCGTTGCTGAGCACGGGCTCTAGGGCGCATGGGTTTAGTCACTCCGCAGCATGCGGGATCCTCCCGGACCGGGGTTCGAACCCGCATTCCCTGAATCGGCAGGCGGATTCCCAGCCACTGTGCCACCAGGGAAGCCCATCCCTGTGCTTTCTAAATGACTTCTCCTTCCAGGAACAGTGACCTGCCAGCAGCAGTGCTGGGTGGCTCTTGGTTCCGAAGGCGCTGGTGTGCTCGGTTCTGGGCAAGGGGCCAGCGTCGGAGGGGCAGGGCCACAGGCTGCCCTGGGCACTGAGAGGACCAGACCGCCTCTGAGGGACTTTGACAAGCTCCTCTCTGGTGATGACGACAGGGAGGATGAAGACACTGACCCAAGCTCCCCTGTGCAGCCCAGGAGGATGGAGACTGCCCCCCGCCCCACCCCCGCCCTCCCACAGGTCCCACTCCAAAAGCTCAGACCCTACTTGGAGGCAGCAGCTCACCAGCCCTGTCCTGGCTTCCCATCCAGAGCCTCTTCTCCTTCCTGAGACTTGCCACGGTTTTGCACACCGGTTTTGAACCTCTGTTGGGTCACGCACTTTGGACCTTGTCCCTAATTACTTCTGTGTATTTCTTACCCTCCCTGTGGCCTGGAAGCTCCAAGGTACGTAACTCTAGAGCTGCAGGCACATAGTGGGCAATGGGGGGACCCCTGGGGGTGGGAGGTGCAGGGTGTGCAGCCCTGACTGTGCTCCCCTTCTCTGCACCCCCTACAATGCCTGCCTCGAGAATGTTTATCCCGGGAAGGAGGGAGATAGGGGCTTACGGGTGGCGGGGCAGAAAGAGGGAAATGAGTCTGTCTCCAGCTTGGTGTTCTGACCCCAGACACCCCAAAACCTCCCAGGCGAATGTTTTTGCTTTCTCCCCTATTCCCCCTTAGAAGCTCAACTCTGCACTCATCAAGGCTGACCATCCTTTCTCCTTGCTGCCTAAGGTGGCTGCACTGAGCCTGACCCAAGGCGGCCATGGGCTGCACTGACCTGGGGGGAAAGTGGGCCTTGAACTTGGTCTGGAACATCCTGGCCAGGATGACAAGCAACAGCAGTAGCAGCACGCTGGTCGCCGTGAACGCCACGATCTTCCACGTGGTCAGGAGGGTCTCGTGGGTGCTGGGCCACGTTTGCTCTGCCGTGAGAGAGGACAAAGCAGCTGTGACGCTCCCAGGCCATGACGGGCGCTGGGGTTCCTGTGTGCTCGTCTGAGGGATTTGCCTTCTCTACTTCTCCGCACTCCACCCGCACCGGTTCACGTTACCATTTGTGGGCCCCCAGATGCGCTGTGTTAACAAATGCTTTCCCCGCCCCCCTTTGCTGCCTCCAGGGCAGCCATCACCCCTGCTTGGGGCAGGTGGCCGTGGCCACACCTGGAAAAAGCCGGGGCAAGCGGGCTGGACTGGGGTGGGCAGGAGATGCTGGGCGGATGTGCACGGGTGGTAAGTACCTGGGTGCTCTGAGACCAGGGGTGAGGACGGTTTGCTAGTAATGTGTTATTAAGTAGGAAGTACTGACACTTGCACGTGGCTTACGTTTTTAGAAGTGAGAGCAGGCTTTACCCACCATCGTATCATCTGTGTTCTGATATGCATCTTGGAGTGGAAGAGAAAGGCTGAGTCATGCTCCGCTTGGGTCACACCCATGGGCCTGTGTCCTTGTCAGTGGAAGGGGGCAAGGCTGGGAGAAGACAGAGTGCACAGAGGCCAGGTCCTTCCATGGTTGCTAGGGGTCTAGGGACCCGTTCAGAGGGTCAGCATTGTAACATGGGCATGGGCGGGTTAATACTCCTGACCCTCTGAACAGGGTTTGGAAGTATCAGCCGCATGTATCCACAAAGATGAGTTTCTATATCCAGTCCCTAACACCGCGTGTGACAGGGGAGGGTGTGTGGGAGGAGGGACAGGGCTCAGGACACAGCCACCCGCCACTGCGAGTAGTTGGAACCTGGACCATCCAGGGACGCCCTCGACGTGCTCACCTGACTTGATGCAGTAGACTTGATAGGAAGGAAACCACTCCCCGTACTGGCAGGTGATGTACTTGTAATCACTGGTGAGGCTGTAGCCGGGATCGCAGTAGAACTCCACCACGGTTCCGTGGTTGTAGCGCTCACATGGCCGCGGGTGGCAGATGAAATCTCCGTGACTCACCATGGGAGGTAGCGGACAGACTTGGGCAGTGGGGGAGAATAAGAGTTTCAGAACCACATGCTTATCCCGTCTGGACCCTCAAAACAGAGATTGAGCTCGGAGAACACATCCCTCAGAGATGCACTGATACGTGAATCATCGGACTAGTGATGATTAGCTGTCCCCGAGACAGTCCCTTCGTCTGTCCCTTCACGTGAGGTCAGACGGAAGCCTGCAGTAAGATTCTGAGCATTGCCGCTGTCACGTGGCATTGTAAAGTACACCGTAAAAGAGAGGTTTGTTTTACACCGCAAAGAGTATGCCTACTTACTAGACAGTGTTAAGCTGTTCTATTAATAATGCATGCTATTACGTGCCAGACAACCTAGTAAATACAACTGAGATATTTATGGACAAAATCTTCGCTGAAAGGAACAGCTATCCTGAGCCTGTTCCTGTGGCTATGGGAGAAATTTGGGACCATCCAAATCCCTGGGTGTGCCTAGCCTGATCCTCAGATGCCCTCCTGGGGTTTGGCCAATGCTGGCTCCGTGCAGGCCCAGGCCACAGCCTCCCAGTCATAGGCCCCCTGGCCAGCACGGAGGAGCCTCGGGGCCTGGGCCTGGTTTGCCACCAATATGCTACGTGACCTTACAGAGGTCACTTAACCAAACGTAAGCCTTGATTTTCTCCTCTGTAAAATGGAAGTTTATTCTACCCTTGATCGTGTTTTATGGTTTTTCTAACCCTCATATTCTATGATTTTAGGGGAAGAAAAAGTTGTTTTCAGTTGCCTCTCTTGAACCCAAACTCTGGGTTGTCAGGTAAGAACGGTTCTATCTTTGGGTCCAGAAAGATGGTTTTCGTGGAGTTTAGTGCTTGTTCACTGATTCCCACAAAGAGCCCTCTTTCCTGGACGAGGCCTCAGAACCGCCCTTAAACACTCCTCAAGAAACAATCAAAGCCCAGACTACCGAGGCCAGCTTCAAACCCACACCTATGGAAACCGCTACGAGCTTTGACCAAAAAAGGGAGAGAGTTAACTTTTGAGCCTCTTCCCAGGGGTACCCAAGCCCTGGGCAGTGGAGACTCACAGGCAGGCCTCAGAGCTCTCCCCACGCAGCCGCATCTGCAGGGAGCTGCCCGCCCCACACGGGCCGTGGGAATGTGTGTCGGGAGCTCTCATCTGGCAGCAACCCGGGCACTGGGGCTGGTCAGCAAGATGGGCCCACCCAGTGGGGGTGTCCCATGGCTTGGGGCCAAGAGGCTCTTTGCAGACACTCTCTCTCATCCTGCAAACAATGCCACGAGGCAGATCTTGCTGGCTCTTTTCAGAGTCAGGGAAACAGAAACTCAGAGAGGTCAAGGTCGGGCTTCCCTGGTGGCGCAGTGGTTGGGAGTCCGCCTGCCGATGCAGGGGACGCGGGTTCGTGCCCCGGTCCGGGAAGATCCCACATGCCGCGGAGCGGCTGGGCCCGTGAGCCATGGCCACTGAGCCTGCGTGTCCGGAGCCTGTGCTCCGCAACGGGAGAAGCCACAGCAGTGAGAGGCCCGCGTACCAAAAAAAAAAAAAAAAAAAAAAAAAAAAAATTAAAATTAAGAGAGGTCAAGGTCTCCAGGAGCAGCTGGAGGAGTGGGTAGGAGCTCGGGCTGAGTTCTGGCTCAGCTCCTCACGAGCCGGATGACCCTGAACAAGTCGCTTCTCATCTCCGAGCTTCAGTGGCCTCATCTGTAAAATGGGAGCATCTGAGGGTTATTCTGGGGAAGGCTGGCCAGGCCTCAGTTCTGAGCTGATGTGATGTAAGTGGGCGGTCAGGGATAACCAGGAACCGGGCATCTACAGAGAGGGGTCGTAACGAGGCAATTGCTTCCGCAGGTGATGGAAAAACCTACGTGGATGATGAGGCCCCTGAGATGAGCAGCAGCAGGGAAGCCACTACTGCCCCTGGGCGGGTGGGACGGAGGTGTGCTAGTGGCCGGGCCCCCGTGTAAGTTGGAGCCACGGAGGTGATCCTGTAGGAGATGGAGGCCGCGGAAACTCAGGCACTGCTGGAGATGCCCCGGGGCAGCGAGGCACCTGCCCTCACTCCCTCTGGACAAAGCCGGCGAGGAGCCCGCGGACCGGGGGGTGGTGGTGCAGGGGAAGGGCCAGGACTGGGTCTGAGGTCCACGGGCCCAGAGCGTTCTCCATGAATGGCGGCTGGCAGGTGACTGCGCCTCGGGTCCCACAGGTAGACACTGGTAGAGTCGGGACCGGAGCTCTGGCTTTCCGCCAGCCCAGGGCATCTCCCGTCCCAGCAGATGCATGCCCTCCACAGAGTTGCCCATGGCCACAGAGTCCCGTCACCCAGTGCATTTCTAGTTCCACAAACTGGGGCTCCTGCCAAATCCACTCCCTCCAGGGTGTTCCATGAGCATCCCCAGTAGGCGATCAAGACAGCAGGAGAGGAAAGGGAAGGGAACGACGAGAAGGAGGGAGAGAGAAAAGGTACCAGCAGCATTAAGCTGGTCCTGGGATGCCAGCAGGGGTTTGCAGCAAGGGCCCCTCCTTCCCCAAAGGCCCCTCTGTGCAGAGCACAGGGAAGGAAGTGTCTGGCTCCCTGCCCAGTGAGGGAGGCCACTGGGCTCTCAGAGCCACCTTCCTGGGCTGAAGGAGGCCCTGCCTTCCAGAGTGAAGGGGAGGTTCGATGTCCGCTGTGCAGCCAGCCTGACAGGAGTATCTTCCACTCTGGAGGCCTCCAGGGCTTCTGGGCTCGTGTGGCCACAGGGGGTCCACCCCTCCTCTGCACCTCCCATGATTGCCCCCCAGCACTGCAGCGGCTCACGGGAGGCTGGACCTTTGCTGGGAGAGTAGGTCCTTTCCACGGTCAAGAGCGGCAGGACCCTCCTCCTAGCTGCCCTCCAGACAAATGCCTGGGAGTCCCCACAGGGTGAGAAAATCGCCAGAGCATTTTCAAGGCCCAGAGAACGTCATGAGAGGTCGGAAGAAGCCCTGTAAATATATACATGCAAGTTTGTTACGGCGACTAAAAATCGGCATTCTCCACCTGGTTCTACAAGAATGAAGTCACTAAGCCACTGGAGTCGCTGACCTTCAACACCCCGTGAAAGGAGTTCGGGGTGGAGATCAGGAATGAGGCGCTCTGTGCTCTGGGGAAAACTGGCAGAACAGGCCTTCAGACAGTTAGATATTTTCAGGAGATTTTATGAGCCCAATTTCTTGCACCTTCTCACATCTAGAAAAGCACTAAAACCATTCATGGAGACGTCTCCTTGTGACTAGCTGCAGCCTTCTGCCAAGATGTGAGCTTGACTGTATATATCCCCCGTCACCAAAATCACATGTGTGCCATCCTCCTCCCACCTCTTCGGAGCAGTTCCTCAGAGCCATCTGAGAGCCTGTCTCCCAGGCTATAGTCTTCATCTGGCCCCACATAAAACAACTCACAGCTCTCATGTTGTGCAATTTTTTCCACCTGACAGTTTTCAGCAGCATTTTTCCTCACTTGGAGGATAAAGGACTGTTCAAATCATTGCCTTAACTGAGGCAGGTGGTCCCTGATGTGCTAAGGAAGGCCTGGGCTGACCGGACCCTGCATGTGACAAGGGAGGGGGGTGGTACAGCGTGTGAAGCCTGGCACGGGCATGGAGGGCCCCCAATTCATGTTCAAATCCCAGCTCTATACCGCTGAGTTGGGGGCAGGGTGTTAGGCAGCTTGTTTAACTTCTGGGGGGTTTAGCTTCCCCGTCTGTGTAGTCAGGGCAACAATTCCTAACTCCTCGGGTTGTCGCGAGGATTAGAAAGCCTGAAACGCAGTAGGCACTTAATAAATAACAGCGCTTAGTATTACTGGTGCCTGAACTTGCTGAGTGCCCGTGCTGTACAATCAGGATACGTGGATTGCACCAGGCCGGCCCCAGACGTTCCTGGAGCGCATCTGGAAGCATCTCACTGGCAGGTTTTCTCAGAGGCCAGATAAAAACCACCCACGGTAGAGGCTTTGATTCTGAGACTGTCATAATCGGTTGCTAATAGAGATGCATTTGTCACCTAAGTGGAAACATTTATCTTCACACTGTGCAGTGTTTCTAGTGATTGCACCTGGCCGGCCATTAGCTTTGCTGCAAGGAACGCCCCCCCTCACCCGTGCATCCTGGTAGGGGTAGAGGGTCGGGAGTGTTCTTTAAACTTGGAAGGAACAGCCAATCAAAGTGTTAATTATAAATTTGGGAAGCTTATTTTATTTTTTAATAACTCTCTTTTTTTTAAAATTATGTACTTATTTATGGCTGTGTTGGGTCTTCGTTGCTGCACATGGGCTCTCTCTAGTTGTGGCGAGTGGGGGCTACTCTTCATTGTGGTGCACGGGCTCCTCATTGCAGTGGCTTCTCTTGTTGTGGAGCACGGGCTCTAGGTGCGTGGGCTTCAGTAGCTGTGGCTTGCGGACTCTAGAGCGCAGGCTCAGTAGTTGTGGCGCACGGGCTTAGTTGCCCCACAACATGTGGGATCTTCCCGGACCAGGGCTCGAACCCGTGTCCCCTGCATTGGCAGGCGGATTCCCAACCACTGCGCCACCAAGGAAGCCCTGCTCATTTCTTAATTCATGTACTTAACACACAGTTTTTGGACAACCACTGAAACTAGATAATGCATTGATCCCACCCTCCTGGGGCTTACTAAAGACAGATGATAAGTAAACAAATGAATATTGATGTGTCTGGGTGAGGCCTTTCCTCTCTCTCTGTTGAAAAACACCATCAACTCTCACACACAGGAGGTGGCCTGGGCGACCTGCCCCCACCTTCCGAGAGGCCTGGAAGGTGACTGGGACCAAAGGGAGCCAGATGTTCTTTTAGGCACAAGGAGATCCAAAATGTAAGCTGGTCCTGGCAGGGGATTAGAGAACCAGGGATGCAAACGCTTTAAAAAGGCCAGACCACATCACTCCCCCTGTGATGGAGACGGGTCAGAGGACAGCGGCTGTGTGCACCCCAAGCCGGAGAAACCGAGGATACCCCAGACGCCAGAGCAGCAAGGGCA